TGATAGCATTCCTATGTCTTTGGTATATAATTAATTCAATCGAAATATACCGACATACAATCAATCGAGATATGCAACGCCGATATATAGTTATTGAAAAAGTTTTTAAATATCACTCGTTATTCTACAGAAATTTTAATAACAGTAAATGAACTTTGAAAGACACCGTGTAACAAAATGGTAACAAAGTACATCTACATTCAATTTTTAATCAGTGGATAATTGAATATTTATTGCTATTATCCAAAGATATTTTAGTAGAACGCGCATTGACACCCCAAGATACTGACACGTAATCATCGAACCCTCAACAAGAAAAAAACTAATATGTATACAGAGGCGATTGGAGCTTGTCTCGGATGAATGTCGAGCGGCGATAACAAGATTAACGCCTATGCTGGTATATAGCTATCAAACACAAACGGTCGTCAATGGGCGGAAATTTAGCAATATTGGGGATCGTTGTACACAAGTGTCAGTCGCGTCGGCGATACATCCGCCCTTGTCTGTCGGTTTTGATTGAAACGACATCTCTCTTTTAGACGCGTATCGCTCCCGCACTTGCGTATGCTTACAATCTGGCTGCGTCCAAATATTGAATCCCTGTATCAAATATACGGTTGCAATTCGCCGTTACGAGTTTTGCGCGCTTGTCGCTCTCTGTCATGCTTGGTTTTCGCTACCGTTTCACTTAAAAGTCGCGTATAACTGTTTGTAAAATTTATAGAAAATCAATCCTGTGTTTTTTTCCACGTAACCTTGTGAAAGCCGCATACTTTTTGCATATTTCGATATTAGGACGGAAAAATGTTTTAAATTACGGGAAGAAGTAATGCGCAGAATGCATACTATCGCCCGGCTGTCCGACTATGTAAAGTCCATTTTCCCTTTTTTTCCTCATCGGTTTATTTTTCCCAATTTTTTTCACTTCCATTTCGCTTTTTTCTCGTCTATTTTTCATCGTTTCAAACAACTATATCGTTTTAGCACTCGAAAATCGGCGACGCTACAACGAAATTTGGCACCTCTCCGAATTTGCGGATAAGTTTAAAGTTCCCCTCGTCGCGCACTTTATATATATCGGGCGTAACGCGTGGACCTAATCTTTTGATCCTATAAGCACGGTTCAGCGTGAAATCCTTGGAAGCTGAAGAAGTTAGTTACATGGGACTAATGGAACGCAGTAGGAGCTCCGGATAATGGACGACGCTATGGCGTCGTAAATACTAGGTGCACTTCACTTACAAGGAAATCTAGTTTTATTTCTGAATTTCGCGTCAGGATCTTCTAATGGAAAAGAAGAAAAGGCGTACAACGAGTGCAGAACAGCGGAAGTGTACGGTGTGATATGCAGAGATTTACGACACTTCCGAAACTTGATTCCCTGCCAAGCATTATTTATACGTATATTGCGCGATTATTATATACATACGTATTTGAGGAACAAGCACCAAATTATTACAAGTATCGGGAAAGGAATAGTATTGATTACTTTTAGAATAATTAAATACCCACCAATGGCTTCTCCTTAATTATTACAAGTTCCGTTTTAACTAATTGTAAAACTTGAAGATATATTTTATTTCGCTCTGTCCACATTTTATTTTATTCAAAAAAGTCACACACAACATGTAGATTGTGAATACTAAGACCCCTTTGAACTGTCACAAGCACCGTTTCGGAAAAAAACTCACCGCTTTTTGCCTATGTGACTGGTCATAAACTTTAAAGCCACGTAAACCTTTTTACTTCTCCGACGAGAGATCAGTCCCTCGTTAACGCGGTTTTTTTTGCTGACCGAGGGAAAGCCGGGAGGAGAAGAACCATGACGGAGATGTCTCCGTCGACGAGATTCGGCCCCTTTAAATCGAAGGCAAACGTGAATTTCGAGGGTCTCTCTACTGGCAGCTTGCGATTTAATCGCGTAACAGTTTGCCCGGCTTTTCTTTCCCCAGAAATAGATTTCCGACGTGTCGATTCTCCCTCGTTTCCCCCTCCCCCGCCACCTTAGCGCGGATGCTTCCCCTCCTCCATTTTCTACTAACGGCGGGGAATTTATGGAGTTTCGCGCACGACCGAGAGCCGCAGTTTTCTCCTCGTGATAAATGCATCCGCTATTGTGAAATGTATATACACGCGCCTCTCGCAGGGGCTGCTACGTGCGCCTGCACTTTCAATTTTGAATTGGCCCAAATACGACGAGATTTGGTCGACGGCTCCCAGTGGTACCCGCGTGCAAATCACCACCGCGAGTATAAGCGCAATTCCGGCCTATTGCGCCAACTATGTAACGAATAATCGTAATTCATCGAGCAGATTTTTCTTGCTCGATTTGTAGTTTCTGATAAAATCGCATGCGACAGATTAATGGAATGATTTAGAGAGCAACGAATTTTTAGAACCATCTAGTAGAAGAAATTGTTGAATCTGTTATCGCAAGTATCTTTACAGTCATCATAGAAAGAAATATTATTTTACTTCTCTCTTATTAATAAGAGAGACTGCAGATTGATTAAGTAAATTAATCAAGAGAAATTCAATTTATATTTCAATACATTCTATCAACGATTTTCAAAATCAAGATTCTCCGAGAATCGATACAAGTTTTTATCTCTCTCTCTCTCTCTCATGTTTTCTCTCAAGTGTTAAATGATTATTTTTAGACTAATGGTATTTAAAAATAATTTATGTTTGTATTTTTATAAAGTATAAAAGGACTTTATTTTCTTTTCTATTTTCTAAATCCCTCCGCGCTTCAGCAGTTTTTTATTAAAATATATTTTTATAAAAATTGTTTTATGCAACGGAACGAAAGTCTGTTTTCCATTATTGAAATTCGAATTAATTTTTACGCTTTCCCCTCTCTCTCTTTCTCTCTGAATGAATGAATAAAATATTTCATTGCGGGACAAAGTTCATACAAGGCACGCGTATTTCCTATGTCCAAAATCATTTTTTCTCCGATCGGCTATTACCGAGACATTCTCACGTCATTGTGGAAAAGAAGATTTTATAGAGCTATAAAATGCAATTTTTATATCCTGCTGAGATGTGAATCGCCAAGGAAACGAAATTTCAAGAGTTACTTTGTCGACGTGCCTTCCACGTCCCGCCGATAAATTGTCCGTGTCTATTATTACAGTGTATAAAATATATCAAATTTTCCGCATTGTTTTATACAACAATATATAAAGTTAGATTACTATATCTCTGTTCGTATATTAAATACTATCTACTTTCTATAGAATTGTTTCATATTTTTCTCTATTATTTCTATTTATTCGTAATTCCCAATAAAGTCTTAACTAACGAAACCGGATACTCATTGTTTGTTACGGTGATGATTGGCATACAATAACAAACGAGGATGAACGCCTTCCTTCAAGCTGAGAGTAAAAGCGGTCGATACCGAATACGATTTACGAAGCTCGTTACGCGCTGACGAATCGATACTCGCGCAAGGCACCGTTGGTTTAAGTATTAAAAACGCAACACAGCATCTACGAAAGTCCGTTTGATTGGCTTTTATTCCTCAGTCGTACAGAAGCGCTTTTTCCCGTTCCCCCCTTTGAAGTTTCCACGAACGGACGCCGCGCTTTTGCCGCGCTCCCGGGTTTTTTTCTTCGGGCGACGCTGGCTGTTAGAAAGTTGGGAGATACTTCTCTATCGTGGAAGAACGGTTGTTTTTCGACTCCCTGCCGGACGGACGAGCACCGAAAAATGGTGATGAGGAAGAGAGCCGTAGGGCGGGACACTTTTTGGTTGCTGGCAGGGAATACGTGGGATTTGCGTCATGCGGTGGGAATAAAACTTTTAGATCTTGGCAGTCGGACGCGCGCGCAAAAAGCCATTGTGGCAACAATCACTATGAGACAAATTTTTCGTATTGCCGCAAGAAATATGTTGACTTCCCTCGTGAGAATGTATTTAGCCTTTTTGCGCATTGTCGCATACGTATGATTAATGTTAAGTAGCAAGGAGATACATGCACATACGTGGCACGTATTGTATCTTAAAAAGTTCTTTGACAAATTGTATTCGCGAAAAGAGGAGTTAAACTTCAAAATTCCGACACAAACCAGGAAGACAGATCTGATCTTTCTCTTCTCTAATAACGTAAAGTATCAAAGTCACCGCAAATCGAGAGACTTTATGTGAGATTTTAATTCCAATCAAAAGTTTCGTATAACGCGCGAATGGGAAATTTTAAACGGAGCAGAATAAGATGAACTTTCACTCTAATTTCATGGAAAATTCACATTACGATCAAAATCATTTGTAATTCATCGAAATAATAAAATCGCCCAACGAACCACAGAAAAACAGTGAACTCGTTACGGTGTATTGGCGCTGCTATCAAACGTGAATGCTATTCGCCTGGAAATTCAATCAGTTTAAACCAAATGGCGAGTAGGTTCCGGTGAATTCAAGTTAATGAAACGTTCCGACACTATTGGAAAATTTAATAGAGTGCATACGACCTCCTAAGGCAATCTCACGACTAGCATTTGTTGTAAATGCATCTATTTTTCGCGCAACCCCGTGGATTCATTATCAAAGTCGATTGTGGTAGTTGCCCGTTACAATCCCGATAATTGCCGATCGATTGTTCCAATTTCATTGGTTTCGCGGGCTACCATAAACGTGACACCTCGCATATTCTCGCCATCGTGCGTGTCCCATAACTCCCTTGAAATTTATATTTAATACAAAGCTCAATATCGCAATTACGCTGTATCGTAGACGATCGAGCCTTTCTATATTGAGACCTTATTAAAAATTTAAAAAAACATTTTTTTAATTAAGAAATACACGAGAAAGAATTTAGAAAAGAATTCTAGATAATCAGAATGTCACAAGGAGACCACGCGAAAGTACAGATTTTACTATCGTGTTTGCCATTACATTTGTCAGCGGGAAAAGTAAGTATTTTTCTTCAATATAAGATCATCTGTGAAAGCAACATTTTAACGAAACCTTTTTCCGCGTTGCCATTTCAGACGTACGTACGAAAGGACTGACATCCCACAAAAAAAAAGAATCTACACCTCAAAGTCCATGGAGTTTCGGGGCAGAAAATTGCGGAGAATGGGAACTGCGGGAAATTCTGAGATAGAGATGGAAGCGCGCGGGGCGAGTAGCCGGCGTTTATCGGCCAGGTGTTGACTCCGCGTCTCTCGAAAACGATGGAGAAAGCTTCGGACCCGCTCTAACGAATGCGGACTATGATACATTATTTAACCAGATGATGAATAGCGGCGAACACTGAAGACGGAAAACACACTTTCAGCCGTGATGGAGACTCCCGTCGATCAAGCCGCGAACGCAACTGTGGAAAATCCAGTCTTCATCGATGTACCAATCATCTTGAGAGCTATCGTGCTCTGTCTCCTTATACTCATCACTATCGTAGGTGAGTCTATTATTCTCTCTTCCGTTCGCACGATATTTACTTTACGAAAAGAAACTCGTCATTCCTAACCATAAATATTTTGATTGGTACAAAATTTTTGCAATTCGATTTTAACAATTACAAAATTAGCGAAAAGAAATTTGCCATTCGTTTGCTCTTTGCGACCGCACTAGTTGAACTTGCCTCAACTTTTAGTGTTAGAAATTTGCGCGATTATACAGCTGTTACATTATTGTTAAGAGACCAACATATACTGTATATTCGTAAAAAAGGTAAAAATACTTTTCGGTACCAGTCAATATCTGTTATGAGAGTATCTTAACTTGTTATTCAAAAGCGATATAAATAAAAGGTCTATATCGCGCGGTACGTACAAATGTATTCATATCCATTCATATGCTTACGTGTTGAATATTGAAATGCGAGTCGATATGTTCAAATTGGTGGGAAGCGCTTATATTTCAAGAGTAATATATAGCCCCGCGCTTTTTCATGCTTTTAGAAAAAGTTTATGACACGCGTCAATTTGACGGCGAGACCCTTCAAGACCCTTTTCATATCCTGGAAACGAGCCTTAAAAAAATTTTATGGACACAATTTCTTGCGCGCGATACTCGCGACTGATTATCGCTGTACACGCTTGTAAATCATAGTGGAAAACGAGAACGAAAACCGTAATTGAATAAATAATACGCCGCGGGTTTTCCCATACCACGAATATACATTACGTTACGCGATATTTTAACTTTGCTTTTTTAATTCAATGAATATGCCGACTCACTCTTCCGGATAAAACACTCGCGTAATATGAGACAATATTTTTCGCAGAGTGCCCGCACGGATTGTATTATAAAACCACGCAATTTCTCTCTGTAATACGCGTTATTTATTTTCTGATAATGCGAGAGATTTCGGAATATTGTTAAACTAAAATATTCCGCGGAAATTACGCGACAATGAGAGGGAGGGAAGATAAGATGTGCAAAGTGTACCTCTTTTAACGTACAACCATTCATTTTTTCACCTCTTTTATATCTTATGTTTTATGTACTGGTCGTTTAAGCCGATCAAGCTGTCAGTGAGCCTCTTAACGTCGACTGCGAAATATCGACGGTCTAAATTTTAAGTTAGTTCGCGAGTTATTCGAAGCCAGACTTTGAGAATAACAACACTGGCGCGTTCAACGATTTAAATCGCTCGTTTTCAATTGGAATATTTGTCAAACATGTCTGCTGAGTATTATAAATATCATAAATTTGTTATAAAAAATTATGGTGTCATTTAAATTGTTTTTTTTTAAATAATTTGTTGGACGAGTTCAAAATTTATCTTCAATGCGGGGTCATCCACGTTGATGCGATCTAATCACGTTGCAATACAAATCTTAACTGTAGCTCCTTAATCTTTGTATCGGAAAAACTATTAGACGATAACACACGTATGTTTTAATCCCAGCTACTTAAAAATTAACGTTAAAAGTTAAGACACTTTTCAATTAATTATCAACGAGTGGAAGGGATTGACCCGGCCAAAGACATTTTGATGAATAGATAATTTTATCGGCGCCGCGAAATCTGTATGCGATGAATCGGCTCATTCAAGCTGAAATCTAAAAAAAAAGGGAGGGGAAAGATCCATGCCTTAATTCGAAGACGATTGGGTCGACGATTTATCTTTCGTTCTTATTCGAACGCTATCGGCGGTAATTAATGAAAATTGCCGACCCAAATTCGGCGGGTCGTTTCCTTTTGCATGCTAAACTTCCGGTCCAACAGTGTCCGCGACGCAATTGATCTCGCACCGCCTCGATTAATCGTTCTTCTTGCCGTAATTATATGCCGTCAGGCACCAAATAACTTCGTCCCCTCCAATCATCCAGCACCATCGATGGTTTCGCGAAGGCGACCGCCCGTTGGTCATAATCATCGCGGCGGGAACAATGGCAAAGATCGCTCGGAGGACTGACACATCTCCGGGGCGTGTAATATATCACCGGGCGCTGACGGTAATCACGATATCTAGTCGCATGCTTTGCGTGAATGGGGTTTTCCGCGGGGTAAGCGAGCTGACACTGCGTTTCGCGACTTGTATTTAGCTACAGCCCATTCCCGCCATCCTGGCTGTCCCCCTGCCCCTTGGATTCTGTACTCAACAATAGATAATTTTATAGAGAATAATGAAACGCGCTCTGATACTGAAATCTCTGATTTATCATTATCAACGCTAAAGACATTTTAATGTGAGCATAATGCGTGATAAATGACTCTCACCGGCTTCGGTCGATATTTGTCAAAGACATCGGCGGCAAGTATGATTAATATGTCTATAATCGTTACGTAAGATGTTTCATAATTGGCAGAAAGCCAATGAAACACGCGCGAAGGTATCTCTCGTGAAATAGGTTCTCAAGAAAAGAAAAAGCTCCACGCGACTTAGACTTGAGACCATAATTAATTTGTAGAATCTCTTTCCACGTTTCATTTACTTTGCAATTTAAGAGTTAGATACCTAACGGCGCATTGCACGCATTAGCAAGAATTATTTACTACTTAACGATCTTTGGTTAAGGTTCACCAGAATTTCTTGGATCATTGCTCTCTTGGACACCGCTAACGCTATGGATATTTTAATCTAGACACAGAATTCCGCGAGATAACAATAAATAGAGGGTTGTCTTCGGGGAGGTAGGCACTAAGACGCGCACATCAACTTTTCAGCGAGAGCTAGACCAGGATTCGAGCCTGGAATCTTCCGACTGCTCTTCCTCCTGATCTATCCAGGCCCACACCCGAAACTCTTCTCGCCTGCCTACTCTATTTTACTGAATAAAGTAGGAACAATTCTAGTCAGCGCGACTCCGGACGCGTGGTATCTCACTCAATGATTTGGTGGACCGTATGGCTGCACAGTGGCCACACAGGTTATCCGCGAAGTGAACGCGATACGAGCACGGCCTCCACAATAATAAATAGGAGTGTATCTTCGGGGATTCGTTATAATCAATTATTACCGTTCATTCGCGAGCTTTGATTTTGTATCGATGCCATTCGCCAGCTATTAAGTCTCGCGAAATAAATCTATGAACATCTCTCCGGCCTCCCTGCGGACCGTATATTTCTCGGAAGGGGATACAGATAAAAGTTGTCGGGAAACAGGTAAGTTTATCGCTCCGCTATAACGCCGTGGGGTGGGTGGGCGATGTAACCGAGGGGGATGCGAAAGAGATCCACCGGCGGCTGTTGGATACATCCACACACGTACGCGCCCCAAGCGACTTGACAAGGCTCGAAGCGCATTCCAATATTAGTATAGTTCACTGGCTAACTAACAGTTCATTGAACATGACGTCAGCTGCCGCTGATATGCCTGCTCTTTCTCTTTCTCTCTCCCCCCCGGTGTAAATTTTCTGAACGCTTGGCGAGGCACAAACCGTGAATATCGTTGCGCAAATGTGAATTAAATAATCCCCTTTTCCTCCCCCCCCTCCCCTTCCGTCACACAGTAATCACCGTAAATCGAGCGAAACTTCTCGAATGCGCGTTGCACCGACCGCATTCGTTCGTTCCTCTTCGGGGACGCAGACAACCGGAGCGCGTGATTTCGCACAAAGTTCCGCGTTCGTCATTAGTGTGCACGCGGAAGCAATTGACTACAAATGTGCGAAATCAGAAGTGACAGTTATTTGCGGAAAGACCTAATGATATCGGAAAACGATAGCGATACGTGTTCCGTTTCTTTTCCTATAATGTAATTTCCTATAATGTAAATTCAAGATTGATTGAAAAAGGCGGCGAAGAGAAAGGACTCGAGATGTGTCTACAATATAAATTTGTACAACGATAATTTTCACATGGAAAAGAAAGTAAAAACTGTTGAATGAACGTTGCACAATTTTGTACGCGAATGTGCTAATAATATTATTTGCAGTACGCATCGCGTGGAATTTAAGAGAACATTTATGGTAGCTTTTATTCGCGAAAGCCAAGGGTTTTTCTACATCATCGAGTCGGGAAAAATTCAGTTGGCGTAAATATGCACATCACGTCGCGGAGAAATCAAACGTTTAATTCAATTATATTTTGCCTCGATTGAATTACCGGCGTTAAAACTCTTTCTTTTTTACGAAAAAAAATAGACTTTATTAGAAGTACACGTTTGAGAAAAATATTTCTTGGCACACCCCACGTATACGGTGTTGACAGGCATCTCGTTCGTTCGTAAAAAAAAAAATAGCAAGCCGATAGGTTAGACCGCCGACGCGAACTGAATGTGTTACTACCTTGCCCTTCGATCCTATAAAGGTTAAACGATGCGATGCGAACACATAACGTACCCTGCATGAAGACGTAATCAGACATTTCCGATAGTTATCGTCTCGTGAGACCAGGGGCTGCATTTTCAATGAAGCTAGGGGAAAAAGCGTGCCCTAAGGCTGCAGAAAAAATATTACACAGAGTCGCTTCGGTCAATCGCGAATATAAAAATATTAATCATTTCCCATTCATTGGAGGGGGGGGGGGAGAGTAAGAGCAAACTGTTACATTTAATTTTAAGGCTGCCGGCGCAAGCGTCAAAAGCGAGTTTAATATGCAATTTATTTACGCGTCGCCGCTCTGCACGCGAAAATAAATGAGTTTCCGCGCGTATGACAACGGGCCGCGATTGATAAAGCGCACTTGTAGCATTTGCCGTCTACTCCGGTTTTGGTTTGTTAATCAATAAACGATCATATAATACAATTCAACTCTGTCCTATGGTGCATCAACGAAAACAAGTTATATGACTACACAGTTATTGGATAACGAACCATAACCGCAGTTTTCGGCACGTTTTACAGGTCCCACTTTACATCGATCGCGCGCGTGGTCGTGTGAGAAATTCGTTTATCTCCGCGCGAACAACGGGAATAAATTACACATTGTTTCCGCTTTGACGTGATAATTTTAAACAGCTAACATAGATATTAAATTATGCCTGTAAAGATATTACGAGGGATACGC